GAAATGCTCTGGCTTACATCTCGGCGGGGACGCAATGCTGCTCCCTTCCATCTTGGTTGCCTCTACAGACCCCCGAATTCCCCAGCATCGTTTTGGACTTCCCTGGCGCAGGAACTGACAGAACTCCAGGGTAACTCGTTGGTGCTCATGGGAGTATCTACTCATGGGTGACCTGAACGTGGATTCTCTCCAACCTACCTCCCAGCTCTACTCGTCTCGCCTTACCAACTTTCTTTTGCCCTTTAACTTTCTAAACTGTATTCACAACCCAACTCGTGTTTGTCCCAAGTCGTCATCGTCAATTGACTACATTCTAAGTAATACAGATGCTGTCTCAGGCGGTATTGTTAAACTTTATGACTTTGAGCACTCCGATCACTGTTTGGTATGTGCAACCTTGACCACCCCCGACCCCTACTCTTTCCCGACTGACTGCAACCAGCGCCTGCCCAGTCGGGACTTTTCCAACACGGATATCAAGCAATTGGAGACCCTCTTAGAGTCCCCAAACCTCTGTACTTTCTCTCTCTCTTCCAGCGTGAATAGTATGGTTGACGAATGGACAAGTAAAGTTGACTCAGTGCTGGATTTGGTAGCGCCGTATAAACCGTCTAAGCATTACCGACATGCTCCTCGTCGAAAGTGCCCCTTTGTTATGTCAGAGCTACAAGCACTAATTCGGAGGCGCAAAGCAGCCTTTTGCAAGTGGCGCAGGGGAGGTTCCACATACACCAAGCTTTACAACAGCTTTCAGCGCCTTCGCACCCAATGTAACAATTATCATCGTCTGCGGAACCAGCACTATCAGAGAATTTGTGCCGAATACAGAAAATCTCCGCGTCGCTTATGGGCTACAATTAACTATGTGACAAAGCGTAAACCAAAGTCATCTCCCATTCTTGCACCTAACCTGAATGACCACTTCCATGCTGTAGTCCACGACCCCACAAGCACGCACGACTTGCCGTCTGGACCGGTCCTTGAAGATGCATTGACCTCTTTCGATCGGGTCAGCACTACAGAGGTAGAGCGTGCTCTTCGCTCCCTTATACCGTGCAAGGCACCGGGTCCAGATGGCCTTCTGCCTGGTTTCCTCAAGGCCATGGCGTCCTACTTGGCACCTTCTTTGGCACAAATCTTCAGCGCGTCTCTTAGCAGTGGAGTGTTTCCTTCTGCCTTTAAGCGAGCCAACATCACCCCGATCCCAAAATCCGCTCAGACCGACGTCTACAACGCAACGAGCTACCGCCCAGTTTCGCTGACGTCAATCCTATCCAAAGTGTTGGAATCCTCGGTAATGTCGCAACTATTCTGTCACCTGGACTCGACTGCATTCCTACATGATCACCAATTTGGGTTCCGCCCAAATCGCTCCGTCAATCAACTGCTCTTTTTGGCAATAAGGCTGGTGTCTTGCTCGGGACCAGAGCCTAACCTCTGCTGTCGCGTTTGTTTACCTTAGTAAAGCGTTGGATCGTGTGCAGCATCAGCAGCTACTCTTGGCTTTGCACGAGATTGGTATCAGCGGATCTGCACTAAATAAAGTGAATTATCGTATCCGTTCCCGAAGGGAACTCACGACGGCCGCTAACACCCGATAAACCCTAGCGGCAGATGCAGCGCCTAACGGTGGCGGATCTGCACTCTCATGGTTTAAATCCTACCTTTCTGGCAGAGCCCAGCGGGTCCTCAGGTGCGGTGAGGTCTCTCCATTTCTACCTGTCACTCGTGGGGTCCCGCAAGGCAGTGTCTTGGGCCCAACTCTGTTTAACATCTATGTTTGCTGCCTTCCTGCAACTGCTGACACATCCGGGACGAAATTGCTCGCTTTTGCGGACGACAACACGGTGCACGCATCCTGTCCGACGGCAAAGGAGGCTGCAGATTTAGTTTCCCACACGTTATCAGCACTCGCTACTGATCTTCAGCAACTTGGCCTGACTACCAATGAGAATAAGACTGTTGTAATGTTCATCGCTCCCAAGCGCTCGCCGGTCTGTCCCACGCCCACTATCTGTATCGATGGTAAAGTGCTGACAGAAGTGTTGCGTGCTCGCTATCTGGGGTTGTAATTGACAACAAGCTCTCGTTCACACCTCATTGTGATAAGCTTGTTGCCAAGGTGTCACGCAAAATTGGTGCTCTACGGCGTTCTTTTCGTCAACTGTCCCCGTGCGCTTGTCGCCTTTATGTGCTATGCGTAATTCAATCTGATCTAGAATTTGCATTTCAATCGTTCTTACCCTGCCTATCTGCAAAAGACCGTGAGCGCCTATTTGCTGTTCACCGTCGTGCGATCCGAGCTGCCTGTGGTGCTCATTACTGTGCTGACGTGGACCCCCTTTACCACTCTCTTAAGCTATGTCCTCTGGACCATCGTTTCTTACAGTTGTTCATTAAATTTATCTTTCAGTGTAAAGTTGCTCACCCGGTTGCCAGTTTGGATTCTCCATTTTGCAGGCACAGTACACCTGCTTACACCACTCGCGGCTCTTCTACAAATAATCTTTCGTTATGCCGATAGAAGAGTGCATGCGAGTATCGCTCATTGTCTAGTAGGATTGCTTTACTTTGGAATGCTCTGCCCTTTGAAATGAAGTCTTGCAATACGTCTTCTCCATTTAACGCCCATCTTGCCTGCCTTCTTAATGACGGGCCACAATGTACCCGGTTAAAACAGCTCCTCTTTGAAAATGTTTTCAACGAGTGATGTGTCGCTTTGTTTTGCTCTAATTGGTGCTTTTCTCCAATGTCATGCAGTCGTATCTATTCAGCTTTTATGTCTTGTGTACTTGCATACTGGTATTAGTTTAGTCCCACAACCTGCGATAAAATGATCAGCTGTAGCACCTACTCCACTTTTATGTTTATGTTTCTATGTCATTCGGATCTTCCCAAGTTGTACAATGTGCTGTTGAGATACCGAATTCAAATAAATCAATACCATACCATACCATACAATAAGTGAGTGATAAAGTACAATATTATCTTTCAACGGAAGCGTCCTTGAAGGTGTCTGTATGGTTCGGCTAAGAGCGCGTGGTTGTGATGAGTTGGGAATGCAATAAAGGGGAAGGGGGAATAAATATATATAAATAAATGAAACGTGCTTGTGAGTACATACCGGTAGTACTTCAAAGTACACAGTTCTGTCTGCAGGTTGAGCATTTCGCTCCTGCTCTTGTAGCAGTTGAGCACTCTCATGTAGTGCCTTTGCTGTTTGCGTTTTAGAGAGCTCAAGGACTTTTCAGTTTGAGCACTCTGGCAAGGTACTTTCGGGCCTGGGTTAAATCTGGCTTTGGAATATGTGTTTTGTTATTGCTATCAGGTTCGGGATTGATTTTCGTAATGTTTTTTACTGTATCTGGCATAAGGCCTTGTTCAGAATCATGAGACGCTATGGCATCGAGCCACAGCTGATAACACTCATGAAGTCCTTGTTCAGTAATGCAGAGTCTGCAGTCTTGGTGGGCTCTACAATCAACGAATCGTTTTCCACTACTGTTGGTGTCTGGCAGGGATGCCTGCTGCCTCCGGCTTTATTTAACTTCTACCTTAAATATATTATGTCGGATGTGCTGTTCGACTTTGACGGCTCTGTACGAATTAGTGGAGTTGTCACTAATAACTAATGTTTCGCCGATGACATCGATCTTATAGCCATGACTATGCAGAAGCGTGTCGACCACTCAGCGCGGCATTATGGAATGCAAATAAAACAAAAATCATGGTGACCCCTGATCAACCTGTTTCAGCTGGTGATCCCGTAGTGTGTGTGGAAGGCATTGCATTGGAGCGGGTGCAAAAATTCAAGTACCTCGGAGCGATCCCTGCAGAAGGAAAATCTAACGTCGAAGACCGAAAATACATGCGATTGCAACATCAAAGCTTCAAGAGCTGACGATGTTCAGGACTTGCCGAACTATATCCCTTAAAATTAAAATACGCTTGGTAACTGGTATTTTTTTGCTGCTGTTCGCTATGGCTGCCAGACCTGGACCATCTCACATGCTAGCCTAAATCGATTTGGAGCTTTTGAGGTCAGGTATCTGCGTAAGCTGCTTGGCATCAAATGCTATTATCATCGCACTAATGAGTCAGTGCTGCAGGAAGTCAAGAATGCTATTGGCCCGTTCACACGCCTTGATTCAACTGTTATAGGCATCAAGTTGAAATGGGTTGGACATGTAGCAAGGCATCAGGATAACTACTCCCACTATATATTGTATGGAATGGTGCCTGGATCACGACCCCGTGGTTGCCCCCGTCACAGTTGGTTCAGCAACATCAAAGACTGTACCAATGAATCTTAAAATTCTCTCTGTCTCCTTGCTGCTGATCGTGATATGTATAATCAGCTTGTTTATCTGTGTAGTTATTTCTTTAAATTTTTTTATGCTGCTGCCTTATTATACACATTGCGCCGCTATGATCAGAATCCTTATGGGTTATGCATACAATACATAAATCAGGTTCGGCCTCATTTTCTCTGTGCTGCGCTGATGTGTCCACAGAGGACTAAACAGTTATGTCCACAGCTAGAGTAGTTCTCTCCTTCTCTTGTAACAGTTGAGCAGTCTCATTTGGGGTAGTGCATTTGCTGTTTGCGCTATGCAGAGTTCACTGAGTTGTCCGTTTGAGCACTCTCACAAGGTACGTCCCGTTTCAGGCCTGCTTTAAATCTGGCTTTGGAAATTGTATTTTTCATTGCTATCAGGTTCGGCTTCTTTTTCTCTGTGCTGCGCTGATGAGTCCACAAACAACGAGACAGTTCTGTCAGCAGATTGAGTAGTACATTATTGACATGGAGAAGCTCAACTTTGTTTCTCCAATGCAGACTTGGGTGTATAGAATCACTCGAAAGAACATGGAAGAAACAATGCTCCTGAACCAATGAAACTTGTTTCATCGTTTTACCATTGTTGTACATCGTAATCAATATTTATCTTTACAGGAAATGTGGATAGTCTTTCTCAGAGACGACTATTCCTTTCACTTACTTTCACATGTTTCCCACGTCTTCCATGCAGTATCCTTTCCACAGCTTATATTTTTTTCTCTAGAGGTATCTTTTGGGAAGTAGTATCCGCGTGCGCAGCGATACTTGACTTTATCCTGGAAACTGAAGGTTGAGTTAAGGGCATCAGCAGTGACGACTTCAATAGTCGTTGTGTTAAATTGCAGGTCGGGACATTTCACTCCTGCAGTGGACACGAAAGCGGGACACATTTATTGAAAGAGTTACATTAGTCACTGGAGATAACAATATTGGTGGGTACAGATAAAGGCAGACACATTGTTTCCTGATCATTAGTGACAGCGGATATGGAGGTGTCTTGGTGTGCTCGTGGCGATTATCAACTGCCAACTTTCAGCACTGAATCAATTTCTACACGAGAGTTGCCGGCTTTTTCGGAACCGAACGTAACTAAGTAGCTCGAATAGTGAGCCAGAATTAAATTTAAAATAGAAGACGAAAACACAAGTAATGGAGTTTTAAAGCAACTATCCACCACTAGCCACTAGCCACTAGCCAGGCAGGCTCAGTGGGTTGGTTAAAGACCATGATTGAGATACGAGAGGTACCTGGTTCAAGTCCTGCCTGGGAGCGGTTTTTCCAGCCGTGCTGCTACCCACAGTCAACTGGGAACTTGTGGCCAGGCACAAGGGGTACATGGATGCAGCTAATGGGGTCATTCTCGGCACTTGTGCCAGTGGTTGTGAGGCTTATCCACTCACCCCCACCCTTAGGCGCTGCATCTGCCGCTAGGGGTTACCGGATGTTAGCGGCCGTCGTGAGTTCTCTTCGGGAACGGACACGATAATTTACTTTACTTACTTATCCACCACTTTAACAAGATAATAAAGAGTCAGAAAGTGCGATAACAGGGCACGAAACTGACAGGCTACTGAGACATTCAACGACTTGAGACCTAGCTCTAACACATCTCCAGTGCAAAACCAACAGCCTTCCAACTTGGAAGGTTCATGGTTGGGTAGGACCGAAGTGGGGAAGGTGAGCGCATCGTAAAAATGCACAAGCTAAGTCCCGCGGCAACTCTCTCTCTCTCTCTATCTATCTATCTATCTCTATCTCTATCTCTATCTCTATCTATCTCTTTCTCTCTCTCTCACTCTCTCTCTATCTATATCTCTATCTCAGCTCGCAAGGCTGGGCGGGGTTGTGAGCAGGCTTTCATTTAATCTTTTCTTATTATTTCCGCTTTTCATCTCGTTACAAAATTCTACGCATGTTTTCTCCATCTGTGCATAAAATCTAGACTGACAACCTGCTTGTTAAATAATGCACCTGCTTTCAGGCGTAAAAGCCCTGTTGTAGAGGTCTCAGTCCTCATTTGTTAGACTTACCTGTCTTTATAAGTGCAACTTACTCTCTCTCTCTCTCTCTCTATCTCCCTCTCACACACACACACCTCTCATCACCTAAGTGATACGAACAACTCATTTGTAGGTGTTCAGCAGTCAGTGACGTGTTAAGTGGTGTTTTTAACTTAATTTACTTCGAACGTGACACCCAATCATAGCCCAGAAATACGATAGCGAATGGTGGTGGGGGGGGGAGGGGGAGAGGTTAATGACAAGGCATGTACGTCGTGATCGAATATGTCAGTAAGAAGGGATAAAGGAGCAGAAGCACGCCAGAAGATTAAAACTAAGCAATATTGTTGTTTTTCAAAGCAGTACATGCATCTCCCCAATCAACGCCAGTCCGAATGAACAGTACGACATTTACAACCAAACCTTTTCGTTCCCTTCCCTTCATGGGCTTATATAGGGTATACAGCAAACTGACTAAGACAGCAACTACACGGGTAGAGAATTGAGAGGGATTATTATAATTATTATTATTATTATTATTATTTATTACAACATCTCAAGACTCGGCGGAAACACCGGCCAATGTTACGAGAGTGCGTGATTGCCAACCACGGCGATAAATAGAAATGAGGGGAGGGGAAAAAAAGAGTAGCAAAACGAACAGCAACAACAACTCCGTAAAGAAAGATAATGTCAAATAAAAACAGTGAAAAACACAGAGACGCAAAGGACATGTGGATAATGAGCTATGTATGTCGTAGTAAATAAGGGGCGGCACGGATCTTAAACAGGCGGAGTGAGGTCAGGTCCTTAACTTCTCTGGGTAGAGTGAGCCAAACAGAATAAGCAATAAAGAGAGGGGAGCGCAAAAGAGTGGATGAGTTACACTTAGGGAGTAAGAGCGAGTTTCTAGTTCTTAGAGAAGAGAACCAATTAAAACACACGAGATGCGGTGGGCACAACTGAAGCTTAATAGACTGGACAAGAGAAGCCAGGTGTGCACTGCGTCCATGTGATAACGGGGTTGTGTGAGCGATTTTATAAAGGGCGGATGATGAGAGCATGCGGGGTTGACGGAGGAGAATTTTAAGTATTTTCTTGGGATGTATTTCAAGCTTTGCAGCAGCGGAAGAGGATAACCCAACCCAAGACGTATCTGCATAATGAAATATTGGGCGAAGGTAGGCTAAATAAAAAAGAAGCTTGCAAGAAAGTGGGAGGTAGGAGCAGTGGGGGAGAGAATTCCTAAGGATTTACTTGATTTTGTACAGATATATTCGATGTGAGGTATCCAAGAGAGTGCAGAGTCAATCACAATGCCAAGGTGTTTGCGAGAAGACACTATGTCAATTGGATTTGTAAAGATGGCATGGACGAGGGTTGTGAACTCCGGCTGGGGCGGGAAGAGCATGATCTTTGTTTTTGATAGATTTGGGGACAACCTCCAGGGCGACATCCAGGAAAGAACTTCCTGAATGCCAGCACGCAAGTTGTTTTTCAGGCCAGTGAGGGAAGCTGATGAGGTGAGAAGGGTCGTGTCGTCAGCAAACAGAGACGTTCCAGGGAAGACTGCAGGTAAGTCGTTTACGTAAATTATAAATAGTAGGGGACCAAGAATGGATCCTTGAGGAACGCCTGACAATACTGGCTCTGCAGCCGAGGATGTGCCAAGCACAGTTAAGTACTGATAACGCCCAGAGAGATAAGATTTCAGCCAGGAGAGTGGTTGTTTGCGTACCCTGAATGCATGCTCGAGCTTTGCCAAAAGTCCTCGATGCCAGACGGTATCAAAAGCCTTGGCCAAGTCAAAGAAGCAAATGCCAGCAAGCGCTCTGTTATCCCTATGCTGGCACACATGCTGCACGATGCGGGTCAGTTGAAGGGAGGTGGAGTCGCCTTTACGAAACCCAGATTGTGCGGGACTCAGAAACGGCGAAACATGTCTGTATAAGTGGTCATAAATGATGCGTTCACATACTTTGGACACGCAGGGAAGAAGAGAGATAGGGCGGTAGTTTGCAGGTTCGTGGCAGGAACCTTTCTTGAACACAGGTATGACTTTCGCTGTTTTCCATGCGGAAGGGAATATGCCCGTGGTAAATGACATGTTGAAAATATGGCACAAAGGGAATGCTATGGATGGTGCCAGGGCCTTGAGGACCCGGTTGGGGATGCCGTCAGGACCAGACGCCTTGCACGTCGGAAGCTTCTTCAAATGACGCCGGACAGTGGGAGTTGTGGTGATGACGGACGTGAAACAAGCTGAGGGCTCCGAGGTGGTGAGAATAGGGGGAATAGAGAGCAACGGGTCATCTGGCCGAGTCACAGAGGCAAACTGGGCGTTTAATGCAGTAGCTTTGGCCAAAGGGTCAGCCGCTTGCTGAGTCCCTGTTGTGAGTGATGGAATTTCCCGTGATACGTTTCGAATTCTTGCTTGTCTCACAAACTGGTGAAGCGATGGACGGTGTCTACCCCGCAAAGTAGTTTGCACTGAGCGGATATAAGCTCTGTACTTTGTCCGCGTCAGGGTTTTCACTATATTGCGCTGCTGTTGGTATGCTTGTTTGTTTTGTTGTGTTGGGTACTTCTTAAAAATTCTATAGAGATCATATTTCCACTTGATTGCTGTGCGGAGATGGGCATCAACCCAGGGTGCCTGACTGGGCGTGGGCAGCGGTGAGAATACGGCTACTTTCCGAATGGCCAGAGGTGCTTCTCAAGGGCACTGTTGAGAATGGAAGAAAAGTGCGAAAGCGCATCATTGACGTTGCTGGCACGCAGGTGCCAGCTCCAGTCAATATCAGAGAGCTCTGCATTCACACTATCCCAGACGGAAGATGGCACGGATTTAAAGTCATATTCCGGCTTTGCAGGAACATTGCTGAAGTGGCTTCGGGGTGCAGCAGCGGGATGTCGGCTTGCAGCAGGTTCCTCACGGCAAACAGCACCAGTAGGCAGTAGGAAATGACTGAGGATCTGCGCGTGGTCAGATACACCAAGAGGAGCAACAGATGTAACAGAGAGTAGTAGGTTAGGATGATCCGTGAGTACAACGTCAATACACGATGTTGAGCCATGGGGGGTAAAGTGTGTGGGGAATGTCACCATTTGCTCAAGGCCAAAACAAGAGAAGAGGTTACGGAACTCCCTTCCAGCGCGATTCGTGGTGTCACTAGGAGACCAGTCAGAGTGGCGAGCATTCAAGTCTCCTGCAAGTACAATCGCCGAATTGGGGAGGCTAATATTGGACAGACAGTCCTCTAGGAGGTCACTGAATGCCTGGACTTGGGAGATCTCTCTCCAGGGGGTCTGTAAACAGAGCAGATGATGAGGGGGAGTGAGGGAAGGATCACTGGCCGCAATTCGAGCCAAACCGCCTCCAGTCCACAGCGCTCAAGGTCGAAGCGGCGCTTGATGGACATGAACGATCTGTCAGCTACAAGAGTAGCAACACCGCCATAGCCTCTTGCTGGCAGGTTATCAGAGCTGGTCGTGGGTGGGCGGTCCAGGCGGTTTGACGTGTAGCCTGGAATTGAGACGTCTATGGCAGCTGTCAGCCACGTTTCACATAGGCAGTTTATGTCTGGAGAATACTGCTCACAGACTTGACTAAGCTCAGCTAACTTATTTACTATGGAGCGGCAGTTAAGTGAGAGCACTGAGAAGGATGAAGGTAATTGGGCAGGTTGATTGGGAGTTTTATTAGTTTGTCGTCCAGAATCAGGAAGGAATGGTGGCGCAAGTGGATTGAGCGACGCACTCAGTTCTGTTGAGTGATGCGGTCTGATTTGAAGCGCCATTCACGAACCGAAATGCCACTTGGCCAGAAGTCCAGACTCTGGACCTTCTGCCAATGCTCGTCCGAAATAACAAGGTGGGCGGGCATACGCCAGACCAAAATACCGTGCCGCAGATACTGAGCATTTGATTACAGTCACACTGCGGTCCTCGCACCATTTAGCGATTGAACTTGCCGAGCAACCGACATCAACACGGCCAACGTAGACGGCCTTGCACTTTAGCCAACTGGCACCCCTTAACCGGTCGTGCTTGCGTGCAGGGCGCTGATAGCAAGATGTCACCGTTTCCTGAAGTGCGGGCTCCGTTACTGAGCCTGCATTCGTCCTATCTGGTGAAGCCTGGGCAGCCTTGGCACGAAAGCCATCGGTAGCCGGCGCAACCGCAGCCCTGGAGTAGGAATGGGGGTGCATCTGCGCCTGGCACGCACCCACAGCCTGCGCGGGCCGTGGATGTACCCGCGGTGAAGGACTGGTACAGGCTGGTTGGATGCCGGGCAGGCACTCCTCCAGCTTCCTTACTCGACTGCGAGCTACGTCCGCGCTAGCAGCCACACGTCGGATTTCTTCGCCTTGCGACCTGATCGCTTGCTCCAAGGGTCCGGTATCCGTCGTCTCAAGCCTTCTTTCAAGAATATTGAGTCGAGTATCCAAGCCATTGAACGAGTTATTGACGGCTGACACCTCCTCACGGATACGAGCAATGGAATCTAGGACCGTTTCCATGCGCTCTTCTAACAGATCGCTCATGCAGGTGCGGAACTGTTTCATGAGGTGGTCTGCATTTACGATGCCAGCAGAGTCCGGTGCGGGGAGCTGTGTCGGCGACTTTCGACCGGTACCAACGCCAACGCTGGAAGCAACACTCTCAGGTGACTCCGACAGCTCTCCCAGCTCAAGCACAGGTCGAGGCTGTACATGTGCGCAATCTCTGACAGCACTCGCACCAACATGCCTCCGTTCCAGAGAGGCAGCACTTGCTGGCGTTCCAGCTAGAGCCTCCAAGGCCCGCACCATCCCCTCGAACGACATGATTGCTCTGTAGCTGTGTTGACGTGGTTTCAACAGCGCGCGCCTCTCACGCCTCTCACTAGCCCCAGCATCCAACAGAAGTGTGAATGCCAAGCCAGGTGCGCAAACAGCACACTGGGCTTGTCCGTGACAACAACGTAGTCGGTGTGGCAACTAGCGCCTCCAAAGCACAAGGCCGACGAGGAAGGCTACACACAGCCACCCAGCTTCAACAAACGGGAGGGCAGCCTAAAACTACAATGTCAATGGAGAACCGGCAGGACAATGAATCACCTGGGTCTCAAGAATAGCAGAGCAGGCCAAATCACCACCGATAAAACCACTGCAGCCGATTTAAAAAGTCAAATGGAAGGTAATAGGGCAAGCTACGTGCCAGTAGAATGAACCTACACGATGGAAAATTTCAAATCTCGGGAGAGGCAAAAACTGCATCCGCACTAACCCTGACATAGTAGACTATAAGCATCAAGCTACAAATGTGAACATCATCGAGCCAAAACAGCATGAAAATCAAATACATGTAATAGTGCACATCGAAGGTGTCCAGAGTAAAGATTCTTCTTCGCACTCACATGTGGGCTACCATAAAACAACTGGAGGGACCAAACATTTTCCTTCTTCAGTGACACGGACGCAAACACGCATGTAACCATGCAAGCACAAACTCATCATTCAAAAGATATCCAAAGCATGTGCTTGTACCGAAAAGGTACGTATACCATCGGTATGTAATAACTTACTCTCACAAATTGGAATTGGTTGCAGCGACCAGATTCCATTCATCTGGCAATCCAATGTATGAATTTTCTTGTTGTTCGCCCTCCAGCCATTTCTGCACTTAAATGTTGCCTTTTCTCCAGGGCTGTAGAAACTCTTCAGTGATGGCTGATTTAAACCTTGCTTTATGTTTGTTAAGTTGAGCTTAGGACAGCGAAGTACTGTAAGCACACAAAGAACCAAAGTTTAATTAAATCCGTTTTAAAAGTCTTCAAATCATATATTCTGTCAAATGTGCATGGTAAACTTTTCGAAGGCCCTGATATTCTTTAAAACATTCGAGGGGCCACGGTTGCTAATAGGCGACCACGAGCCTTTGGCGGTTAGTGCCGGCGTGGAAATATGCAGAATGTGGTACCTTTCTGCTGTTTCATGCATGTTTGGTGTTCAGGACTCGCCTTCACTACTATGCAATATTTGCCATTATGCCAGATTACGCTGGCACTTGCAGTGCACTAATTATTTCTTGTTTCTATATGCTTGAGTTGTATCTGTCGTGTATCTTTCTTGGCTCGATATGAGTCCGTTTATAGCTGTAGCCATCCTGTCCCAGCCGGCAGGGGGTCGCACGGGTTCATGACCTTTACGTTTCCGGCGTTTGTACATTTCTGTTGTACCAGCGCTGCTGCTAATTTGTCGTAGGTTGCGCATATGGCCCTGCATGTGCCGTACGCGCGGCGTTTTCTTTGCTTTTGTATTTGCTGTTTCTCCCTGCTTGGGGGAGTTGTCGTGAGAGAGAAACAGAGTGAAATGGAAGAAAGAAGTCGTTTGGAGTTTGTCGTAGAACTACTAGAAATAGCATAAGCGTGATTCCGCCACGCAGTTCATATTCGGAACAGATGGTAGCAGAGGATGGTTCGAACAATATTTGAAATTAGCAGTTTGTAAGTCGAAAATGTCCGAGCGTACGAGTAGCGATGTCGAGGAGAGCAGCTCGATCAGCCCACACGAAGCGGAGGTGGAACAGGACCCACCGGAAAGCAAGAAGCATACGGCTTCCAGCGGTGTACCTCCTGGCAAGTCGATTGTACCACCTGAAAATGTCGAAGGCCATTTGATGCAATTGAAAAGCAAAAAACAAAAAGCCAAAAGAGAATTTACAAATACCCGACGAGGGTTGTTGGTTATAATGCGAGAGGGCGGTACGATGGAAGCGGCGGACCAGCAGCTCTGGTATCTTGAGAATGTCGAGCAAGAAATATTTGCATTGCTGACCGACATGGAGGAACTGTACTTGGGAGCTAATAATATCAAAGCCGTATCGAAGGTACACGACGAGATGGAAGACTTAAATCAAGAAATGAGAGCGACGACTGATCGCTTCGACCAGTTCGCGAGCCAGCTCGAGTCGCAGGTTAAAAAAGAGCCTGCACTTGCAGCGGGCCAGAACTCTGTGGAAAGGACGAGCAGTAGTACTAGTAATACTAATAGTCTGGATGCCACAGCCCAGCCTTTCATGCCAAGTGTGACCCAGTCTCAGGAAGAAAAGGCCACTCCAGCTGACTCAGATAGTCAGCAAGCACTGGAGTCCGATCCTAGCAGTACTGGTATCAGGAGAGGTGTTACTGTTAGTGCAGCAGCTGAGACTGTACACCAGGAACAGTGGCAACCTGGTCAACTAAGTAAGCAGTTAGATCCTGCACTGAGTACTACTGCCAGCCAGTCATCAGTGACCCAGACTAGCCAGACCGGAGCTGTCACTGCTAGCTCATCAGTCAGTATGACCACCAGCAGCACAGGGGATGGAACCAGTCTACGTCATGTACCTGCCCCAGTAAGTGCACCACTGTACACTCAGGCACATACCGGAATATCCAGCAGTACAGATACAAGGAGCAGTAGTGCAAGGGTAGCACTCAGTACTACTAGTAGTAGACCAGCTCTGCCAGCAGTGCGCATGTCCGCAGTAGCGCAGGCGGCACTACCAGCACCACCACCACAGCCACCACAATCGGCAAGGGCAGCTGTCGGCCAGGACCTGTGGAGGCAGCTTAAGCGAGTATCCATTCCAGTATTCCGTGGGGACAAGAAGCAGTTCCCAAGCTGGAAAGCAGCATTTCTGGCATGCATTGATCAAGCTCCGCTGACAGCCGAATACAAAATGCTGCAGCTGCGGGAGTACCTGGCAGGCGACGCATTGAGAGCAGTAGAGAATCTGGGCCACTCTGCCGCTGCATATGAAGCTGCCAAGACCCGTTTGGAGAGAAAGTTCGGCACAAGTCGGCGACAGGTGAGCCTGTACCTCGAGGAGCTGGACAGATTCCGACCCATCCGTCCAGAATCAGCAAAAGACGTAGAACGATTTGCGGACCTACTTGACGTGGCAGTCATCAATCTGAAGGATATGCAGCGGACTGAGGAGCTGGGAAACGGTTCCCTGTATGCCAAGCTGTTGTCTAAAATGACGGAAGCCATGGTAGTCAACTATCAACGCTGGCTCTACGAAAACCACGAACCCGAGAATGTGGAAACCCTGCTGACCTGGGTAAATCGTGAGGCAGAATTCGCAGTCATAGCTGCCGAGTCAGTCCGGGGAGTGACCTCGCAAACCCGTCAACAGGAGTCCAGCACTGCACGGCCAAGGGACGTGAGCAGCCATGGACGAGGAGCAGATCGGCGTACCTCGCATCACACCTTCGTGAGCTCAAGCACTAGTGGCGACCTGCCGAGCCGCAACCGCTCTTGTCCAGCATGTGGCCAGGGTCATCCAGTGTGGCGATGCCCAACATTTCAATCGCAAAGTGTCACAAGGCGTTGGGCCACAGCACGAGGAGCCGCATTGTGCTACAGGTGTTTAGGCAGCGGGCATAGTGGGTCGAACTGCACACGCAGCCGCACCTGTGGGATCGACGGCTGCACGGAAACGCACAACCGCCTGCTCCACTCATCAAACAGTGACACCAGTATGGACCCTGCGGCGAGGAAACCAGCTGGAGCTCAGAGCAGTAACAACCAGGGTATGGCAAAGCCAAGAGCAGCACCCAGTCAACCAGACAGGTCAGGCCAGATGTCTGGGCCTCCTTCATCCGTCATGAACACGGAAGGGGAGTCAGTGTCCGAAGCCGGTGCGCATGCCAGAACGCATCACGGCCAGCAAGTTGAGCCACAGACAGCCCTGCGGACAGTGCCGGTGACCTTGGTAAATGGCAACCGCAAGATTGCGGTGAATGCCCTACTTGATGACGGCAGCACCGTGTCCTACATGAACAGTAGCATCGCAGCTGAACTGGGTCTGGCAGGAGAACAAAAGAGTATTACGGTGTCTGTCCTCAACGGAGCAGCGACAACGTTCAACACCGCCTCAGTGAACTGTCAAATCAGCAGCAGCGACGGAAGGGCCAGGTATGACTTCACGGCATGGACAACCAACAATGTGACCGCATCACTCAAGGCAATTAACTGGAACAATCAGCGAGATCGGTGGCAGCACTTGAGAGAGGTCCCATTCCCTCCTCTCAATGGAACAAAACACATCGACATACTCATCGGAGTCGACCATCCATACCTACATGCATCGCTAGACGAGATTGCAGGAGGTCCAGGAGAACCTGTTGCACGAAGAACTCCACTAGGCTGGACTTGTGTCGGGCTCGTCAATCCCGACACCACAGCCATCACATCACTGAACGGTCACAGTACGACAACCGCCAGTCTCGAGCAGCTCAACCAGGTCGTGCAGCGGTTCTGGGAGATCGATCAGAGCGGCACCCAGCTACGCAGCCACGTGCAGTTGACAACAGCCGAGCAGCAGGCCACAGACCGCGTCGCAACATCGCTGATTGGCACTAGCAGCGGGCGCTACGAGATCCAGCTGCCATGGAACGCCAGGAAAGTAGAGCTCAGAAACAACTACGCTATGGCACTGCGCCGACTCAGCAGCACAGAGAAGCGACTGCAGCACAGCAGCGAAGTAGCAGCAGCATACAGCCAAGCCATCGATGATTACGTGCACAAGGGCTATGTAGAGCAAGTGCAAGCAGCGGACATCGCCAATTCCGGTTGGTTCCTGCCACATTTCCCCATTGTGCGTATGGACAAGAGTACGACGAAGGTACGCATGGTGTTTGATGCTGCTGCACATTATCAGGGCTTTCTTTGAACGACGCCATCTTGCCTGGTCCGAAGCTTCAGAGAGAGCTATTTGACGTGCTGCTACGATTCCGTCGAAACTCAGTAGCCCTGGTCTGTGATGTCAAAGAGATGTACTTGCAAATCGAAATACACCCGGACGATCGCAAGCACCTCCGGTTTCTCTGGCGTACACAAGACGAGGTCAACGTGTACCAATTCAATCGACTGGTGTTTGGACTCAACGTTTCACCATTCATCGCACACTACGTCATCCAGAACCATGCGCGGCAACATGCAGTGACGCACCCTCGAGGCGCCGAAGCAGTTCTGGAGTCAACCTACATGGATGACACACTGGATTCAGTGGAGAGTGACGAGAAAGCAGTTGAACTCTATCACCAGCTATCGTTTGTGTGGAGCACCGCCGGGATGAAAGCCAGAAAGTGGCTGAGCAACTCGCCAACAGTCCTGCAGAGCGTTCCGCAGGAAGACCGGCAATCATCAATCGACTTGTCAGGAGAGCTACCAACAACCAAGACGCTTGGTGTACAGTGGCGGCCTGACAGTGACCAGTTTGGCTTTACATTCTCGAAGCCAGCAGACAACAACATCACGAAGCGCCTAGTGGTGCGACACATCGCTACAGTGTTCGACCCATTAGGATTCCTAGCACCATTCGTTGTGCGTGGGAAAATCTGCATCCAGGAAATGTGGGTAGCCGGTCTGGATTGGGATACCCCAGCGCCAGAGGCAATAGCGGGTAAGGCTCGAGCTTGGTTGAACGAACTCTGCGACACAGATGCCATCCAGATACCGCGCTGTCTCTACCCGAATAGTGAAGCCCCGGACAAGGTACTGCACGTCTTCACTGATGCATCAACGCTAGCCTACGGAACAGTTTGTTACGCAGTGTCAACCCTTGCAGATGGACAGGTCTGTGTTCGTATGGTTGCTGCAAAGACACACGTCGCACCGCTCAAGACCATCAGCGTACCCCGTCTTGAGCTGATGGGAGCCATGCTCGGCCTCCAGTTAGCACAGTCTACAGCTGAGGCACTCAAGATTCCGAAGTCAGCAGTTGTCTATTGGA